CTTCCGACCACTCGGAAAAAAATCACAAAGACAACACGTGACACTTCCCAGAGGCCCGGAATAATTCTAGATTAAAAGTTTTCGTGACTGCAAGGGTCCATACTCTTTGTTTTTTTTCGGTAAAGTGACGTAGGAAAATAAATTACATTAAATCACGACGTTTCGGAGGCAACACAAGCTTCTGTCTTCAGGTGGAACCGTCACAGCAAATAAGTAGAATTTAGAGTCTCACTCAAATCGCATTTTATTTTGCCAAATGCGGCCCACGGTAGAGTCCACTACAACCTGGACCAAAAAACAAACGCGATGACAGCCGCCGCCACCGCCTTGACCCCAGCGCTACCTGGCAACGCACGAGGCCCGCGCCTCTTCGTCAGCAGCAACTTGTTGCTTCTGCCGAGAAAGGGGCACGGCCACAATTTAAACGGCGGCCGCGGTGTCACAGAAACCCCCCCCCCCCACCCGGGTTAAGATGCAGAGCCGTGCGCATTCATCGTAAGTGTTGGTTTTGTTAAAAAATAAAATAAAAAGTTGCAGGAAGCGACGGCCGCTAATTCGGGACAGATGGCGCTCAGCGGAGGAGCACCGCTCTCTCTTGTTAGACAACGACCCGATTGGAATAAATAGCCACGGCCGCCCTCGTACAAGGCAATAATAATTAGGCAATCCATTGCCCTGCCACAGCAGCAACCCTCGGAATGAAATTAGGACCGCGAATTTTTTTTTTTACTGAACTGGGACGGGGGTGGGGGGCAGAACACATACTTAGCTGTCAATTAAAACAAAATCACAGCTGTCATGCCTACTCTCTGTGTACGCGTGGCAGAATAATTTCATTGCGGGTTCACTGACTTCGTATCGTAATTAATCGTTTGCGGGGGTGGCGGTGGGGGGTGGGGGGTCAGGGGTGGTCTGGAGGTTGGGGGGGGGGGGCGGCGTGCCCCATTTTTCACCTCCGAGGATAGACAGAGCGAGGTTCTTGATTGCCTGCCTGGCTTTCGAAAACGTATTTCTGAAATGCATCATCAGAGGCGGCGTCAATCGTTTGAGATAATAAATACAAATGTGATGTTTTCCCACTGAGCCGCTGTTCAATATATTTGTGTGCGGAACCGGAAGTGGTTATCCAAAAAGCACAGCGGCGTTGCTGTTTGCCATCTCCGCTGGCAGCTTCGAGGCAGCGGTGGGCCCTCTGCGTTCTTTTTGTTGGCAGTCCCCCGCAGCAGAGGATGATCGTCTCGTCGGTAAGCCCGACGAGGGCCGACGGTCCAGGACCTACAGCGCTGCGTGTTTGCGTCGTAGGGTTCCTTCCACATTACCATGGCAGCGGCCAGTACACTCGGTGCGTCGCAAAGACAAAGATCCCCCGTATAGCCTTGATAGACTGTTGGCGGCAAGTGCTGTTAGCGAGCACCTATGAAGGCTGGCACGGCGCACGAGGGAGTGGGTGGCCAGCGCCAAGTGGCGATGCTTACACATGGGACCAGGTAGTCATTTGAGGCCGAGTCGACCTAGGAGATGTCCAGGACCGGCTCAGATATTTGTCACTGGTGTTCGCCGTGAGCGGGAATCGAACTCGGATCGCCGGGTGCGTAGCGCAGCGCGGCGCTAACTGCTGCACCACCGCTCGCCACACGAACACTGCTGCACCACCGCTCGCCACACGAACACGAGCAGTCACCACGTGGTCGGTTGTTTTTTCTCCGCGCAAAACATCTTGAGCGCGTTCGTGCGCCTATTGCCATGCACCTCCGAGCTATTCGAAGGATCGATACGATGTGACGTGGCTCTCATTTATTTCGCGCGAGAGAGAGAGTTTATATATATTTTACATTGGTCTCTTACCGGTCCGTTCAATTATTCATGCGCAATAAAAGCAGTGTTCGGGCCACGTATTTGATTTATGCAGTTTGTGGCCACGTGTCTATTTAAGATAAAAAAAAAACCCGATCTCGGATGCCAGCGACCTTCCCGTGACCTCATTATGCTGATTCAAGTCAGACGCCGCGTCATGACGGAGAGCGACCGGCCTTGGCAGCGGCCGCGGATTTCTTGAAGAGAGCGGACAGCTGCGACTTGCGACGCAATATACTGTGGTTCAGCTTCAATTTAAGCGAATTGTGCACTTTTTACGAACGTAATTTAAAAGTCGACGAGATTTCCCACTCGTATGAGCATTGAGACACTGGTGCTCATCTCGTGTTTAAAGCCTTTGCGGAGCCAGTGGTGGAAATTCCTCATTCCCATGCCGAGGGCGCGTCTCTCTACGCAGCACAATTATTGTTAACTTCCCCACGAAGTGGTGCTCGTTTTGATCAACTTCCGAGGGATGATGACCCCAGGCAACTCCCCAACACAGGATTTGAACTTGCAACCTGTTTGGTTGTGAACCACTCGCTCTCCTGCCGAGCCCAAGTCCACTAACCGCTGGCAACGACAATTCAAATACAGCGGCGTATTTATAACTATCTGCCGTGGACTAATGAACCGATTATTCCGCCATCAAATGCAACTTCTCTCTGGCCCCAGTGCCCCAGTGCCAGCCTCTTTCCCACTCGAGGGCTGCCACGTGTGGCCCACGCGAGCCGGGTGGTTGCCGCCCACGCGATCACGTGGGCGCGTGCGACTGATTGCTCGCTCGGGATGTATTACCCAGGACGTGCGCTGATGAGGATTTGATGGGGGGGGGGGGGGGGGTCGTGATTGATGGCCTCGGGCTAGAAGGTCGCGCTCCGGTGGCCCCTGGGAAACCGAGCGGTGGCGCTTAATTTAATCGCCGCTCAATTTATTTGGTTCAATTTTACGGATTTTTTTTTTTAAGTTTCTGGTTTTCTGCGGCAGTTGTTTTTCATTTTGTGGGGGGAGGGGGTGGTGGAGACCGTCGACCCTCGCAGGAGATTCGATTCGTCGGCAGCCGCGCTGCTCTGTCGTTGTCCGTGTGCGCGCACTCCACGCGTCGCAGACTTCGAGCCACGTGCAATCGTCTCAGACTAAGACTTTATATCGGCTGGTACGGCTCATTGAGCTGAACAGCTATTTCATCCATAATAGAGGTTTTGTTTTTGGGGTTGGGTCGCGTAAATATATAAATGTGTCGTTAAAACCCGCCACCACCCGACACAGCCAACTAGTAAGGGTTGTCACGTAAACAGAACGTGGCCAATTCGTCACTAGTACAGCACTAACCGGTGTGTTGGAGAGACAAGCCACAACATTTACAATCTGAGCGCGACGTTTGAACGACACATTTTTTATATTTACGCGATCGAACCCAACAAAAACCTCTTATGGATGAGATTGGTAGCGAAAGCCGACGTGTAAAACTCGCTCTTTCACAAAGACGACCACAGCCCATTTCAGCTGGACCGGTCCAGAACGCTGTTTGTACGCCACATCCCTCTCACCTCACGTTGTCCTCAACCTGTTTGTGTGGCACTAGCAATATAGGGTGCAGGGTTATTAACGATAGTTGGTGTACGGTGTTTTTTCTGCAATATTTTGCTGTCTTTTCTTGGATTTTCTGTTTGCACTCAGTCGCATATTCACTTTAAGATGTTTTCTTGTTCATGTTTTTGTTTTTTGTTTGTTGCGGTTGCACCCGATTCAAGAGCCGAATGGCTCACAGGGCTATACCTAATAAATGAACTTGAAAACTTGAAACTTGATAGGAAGGCGTGCCTTGTACTCCAGCAGTAGTGCCTTACATCTAAGCAGCGTTTCCAGCAAATATGAGGGAAGAAATGAATCCCCGCTTTGTAACTCTTCAGCAAAAGTTGATTAGTGTGAGGTAGTTGGGTGACTCAGTGGTCAGGGTGCTGTGCCAGCACCGGTGAGAGCCTCAATTTTGAATCCAGGTGTCAGCTGTCCCATCGATAATAGCTGCACAACAAAGCTCCGCGCGGTGTGAAATTAGTTTTGCCAATTTATTTGGTACATTTTTTACGTCTGGGAAGAGAAATCATTGGGTTCGTCTGCCAAGCAACAAATACCATTCTCATCCCAATGCTGCACCATCCTGAAACAGATCGTGAAAGCTCAATGATTATCTACTGTACATGTTCTTGCATTCTCAAATAATTGACCATACGAAGGATTTTAATTTGATATAATACAACATTTGTTTCAATCGTTGCTCTGGACTCCCCCCCACCCCCGACCTGCAAACGGCACTGACCGGTTTGGTGAAGTATGGTCAACCAACCCTCACGAGCTGCACGGCATGGGGAGGCCCTCAACTGGCAGCTCATGGAGTTAGACGAGTTACAAAATATTGATTGCCTCTCAGCGACCACTTTCTGAGCGTTGTTTACACTACGTTTTTTTAAGCGGATGCCGTGTTTTTTTTAATTCCTCTGTAATGCCATCGTGTTTTAGACCGCATTGGCATTATAATTAACATGTCAGATTTAAATCAATATACTGTATATATTTTTGACCTCCAGCGTGCTACTTAATTAAAAAAATATCATTTTTATATTGGGATTCTAAAAAAAAGAGATCATTTTGATATTGGGATTATGATCTGCTATCTATTGTATTTCGCTTATCTGTCATTGTTCATTATTGGTTCATTTAACCCTGACTTGTTTCGTTTGTCGGGGAAGCGGTGATGTTGTTTTTTTGTTGATGAAACCCGATTTAAGAGCTTCTTGACTCACAGGGTATTTCAAAATGAACTGAAACTGAACTGCAACATTAGCAATGGACTTGATATGAACAATGTTATGCAGCATAACTCGAGCACTGTGCAACGTAAATAACATCATCGCTTGGAATTTTCCAAAAATAAGAAAAACACATTTTCGCAGGACAAATATTGCACATTTTTTAAAGCTAAAAAAAATAATAATCTCTATGAAGCCGAGAGGCTGACGCCTGCCGACTCAGCCGTGTGGGACTGACAGCGTGCAATTTGGGGAAGAAGGAAGGGCCCTAATTTCATCAATCACGGGGCATTACGAGAGCCAGACTTTCTCTGAGCGATCGCGACGGGAACTCACCGCTCGAACAGATGGCGACAACGATCAGCAGCAGCAGCAGCAGCAGCGAAATCATCGGCCGAGAAGAATCCATCTCCGCGTGGATCGTCCTCCGAGCTCCGAGGTCCGGTGAACCAACACCTCCCTCGATCTTCGCGTCTCGTCGCCGACTGCGCGGAGGCCCCGTGACCTGCCGTCGGAAGCGACAGACGGCACATAAGTCGTTGTTTTTGTATTTTACCCCGGTGCGTACTTCGGGATCGAAGTCCCGCCAGCGACGGTGAACCTTCTGGAAGCGCCCTGAAGGTCGACGCGGTCTGCTTCGAATGTCATCTGGACTTCGCACGGCAGGTGCGGTGGCCGCCTATGATCACGACTGGACATCTGTGGCCACTTCTGGACACCTGCGAAACTACTGACAATCTCACCATTGGAACCTCATTTGCCAGTAAAAATATGATAAATTTTTTTACCCTTCTATCTGGCAACAAAACTGACACCTTTTTACAAGGAGTCATGTTTGCATAGACCACAATACCTGCAGTCATAATGCAAACAAAAAACATAACTCTGATAATGTGCACTGTCCTTGAAGTTGATTGGTCCACACCCGAGACAGCTTTCCTTAGAGCCTAGTCTCACATGGGTTGGACCAGATGACCAGATGAAAAAGAGCCTTGTAGCTCATCGGATTTCTCCACGTTAAAATGTTTTTATTCTGATTCGAGATCACCGGTAGGGACGTATGCATCGCGAACAACGGGGGAGACGACAAAAAAGCGGTCGCTTATGGACCCGTTGATGGCATCACCGTTGAAGCAGTGGATCGGTAACGAGACTGTCGAGTTTAACAGTTTTCGAAGGACGCAAGTTTGAATCACTGCCCCGGGTCACATAGTTCATTGTTTAACCCCTTTAACCCCCCCACCCCTTTCGGCTGCAGCGTCTTCCACGCTTTTAGCGACGCCGTTTACAACGCACGTAATCTATAGCACAATGCATTTGTAATGCACCATAACGTTTCTTTTAACTGCGAAAAGTACACCGTATTCTCCAGTTTACATGATGCACTGCCTCCCGCACACACACGCCGTGTTGACCGTGCAAGTTTGGGGTGCGACTGATAATCTGGCAGGTGGTATGTGTGCGTGTGTGTGTGCTCGTCCGTGACCAGATTGTGTATAATTTTCCAGGGCGTCTTATAATCTCGAGAATGCGGTAATAGATACGTGCAATACTCTTTCCCGTGCAAATTAATCCAAGCGGCATCCACCTCCTCGATTTTGTGGACAAGCTAAATTCGATTCTGTTCTCCTCCAGATCTGCATCGTTTACGGTGGGAGGGAGGAGGAGTGGGGTGGGGGGTTGAGGGGTGGGGTGGGTGGGTGAGGGGTGGGGGGTGAGTGACAGCCCACTCGCCCCGCCCCCACCCGCACCACTCCACCTATGACTCGTCCTCTTCATTGTTACCGTACACGGACAGAGCAGCTTAATTTCTCAATTTTCTCACGGCATGGATTTTTCTTGTTGGGTGTGTTTTTTTAGTTTGAAATGTTTTTCTTCTCTCATTTTCTGGAGCTCAGCCCCAAGGCTGTAAGCAACCGGCCTGCAATTGCGCAGTGCTCGGCTCGGCGTCTCGACGGCTGTGAGCGTGCCGGTGGCTCGCGGAAAGGCAGCCCGGACACGTGAAGGGATGGCGATGGTGATGGTGATGTTGTTTCATAAAAAAAACGGGCACCCCTCATGCTCGGGGGAGAGAGGGCCGCTGTGGCGTTAATGCGTTATGGATTTAGCTGCTGCGAAAGAAAAAAAAATCGTCATCCCGCCCAACGTTAATTAGGCGACGCTCATAAATGTTGAAAATATTTCTTCAGGGACGCGGGAGGGTGGGGGGAGGAGGCCGCAGGGCTGCTACTGCTGTTGCCTCTTTGCCGAGTGGGGTGTTAGAAGAATCTACATCGAGAGGGTTACGGGATCAGGGTAAACGTCGCGAGGGTACGGGTGGAACGCAGGTTGGCGGAAAGGAATATTCGTCAAATCGTGGTATTGGCCGGAATATTTAATTATCAGGTTAATAAATAAAATAAAATAAACTTGAGGAGACTTACGTAGAACGACCATTGTTTTTTCTTAGCAATCCATTATTTCACGTTTGTGGATCGCTCTCCAAATGCTGAAGCGGTAATATACACTGGCGCGTTCGTTCACGTGACAACTTTACATATACTATGTATTATGACTGCAGGTATTGCGGTCTATGCAAACATGACTCCTTGTAAAAAGGTGTCAGTTTTGTTGCCAGATAGAAGGGTAAAGAACCAATTATCATAACTTTACATATACTGTATATGTAAAAAAAGAAGATTTTGTATCGATCAATCGGTGCACAGTCACCACCATCTTCATCCACGATCAACCCACTGCTGGATGTGGACCTCCCACCAAATCACCAATCCATCCATCGCGTGCGCATGAGCGCACGAGTCATCGGGCAGTGGATAGACCATGACCGATGATGTTCTTGATACCCTTAGTTTTATTTCTTGCGGGGGGGGGGGGGTTGGAGGCGGGGGGGGGGTAGGAGGAGGCGGGGGGGGGCACGCCGAGGCTGAGCTGCGTCGTCAGCGAAGCTCGGACTCGGCTCGTGGAAACGCAGTTGGCGTCTCGATTTACGCTGAGCGGCGAGAAAAATCCTTAGAACGTCGATGCCGCCGCCGATAGGACCTCTCTTGGGCAACTCATTAAACACACACCGCTGGAGGGGGAGGGATTAGGGGGGGGGAGTGGCAATGGGGGGGGGGGGGGGCCCAGGGGGCTCAATTTGCAACGACCTCAATGCTTGAGCCTTGTTCCTTTGAGAGCCTCGGTTCGAGCCCCGGGGCTGGGTGAACTCTGGGGGAAAGCGCCATCGTTTGAGTCGGGTTCATGGACATGGTGGACTTGGAAGCGCGTGACTGATGAGTACAAAACAGAGGCAGAGAGGTTGAGTGTGCCTGCAGGAGGCAGTGCAGCAAGTAGGTTGCTGCCGAGCTATTTGTGTGTTGACGTGACCAAATCGTCCCGTACTTGCACGCGATCACTTCTTGGTGAGATCTCTCGGAAGTTAAGCAGGCATTGAGCCTGGATGGTTGATTCTAGATTTGAAGCTTTCGTGACTGCAAGGATTCATACTCTTAGTTCTTTCGGTAAAGTCACGTAGGTAAAAAATGAAATTAAAATTAATAAAAATAAAACAATAAAAATTACGACGTTTCGGAGGCAGCAAATCTGGCTGTGACGGTCCCACCTGATGACGGAGACTTGTGTTGCATCCGAAACGTCGTGATTTTTATTGTTTTATTTTTATTAATTTTAATTTCATTTTTTACCTACGTGACTTTACCGAAAGAACTAAGAGTATGAATCCTGGATGGTTGCTCGGAGGGGTTGACCACCTTAAGTGAAAGGTGTTTTGGCTCCTGCGAGACTCCATTGTTAGGAGAGGACAGTGCAGCTGCTTGCCGAGTAGCGCATTCAGTACACACACACACACAATGTAATCCCACGTTCGAGAGCATCGCCACATCTGAGTGAATTCAAACCGCATGGAACGAAATTCCCCCCAACCAGCAATGACCAGCGCGGTGAAGTATGGGTCACGTTTACCACCCACGACCCGCACGGCATAGGGAGGTCTTCACCCAGCAGTGGACTGACAAGGGGGTGGGGTGTATGTGAGACTGTACACAGAGCAGTGTGCGCGTTCTTCTCTCGCACACAACCGAGTTCTCCTGTCTCCACATTTTGCCTGGGATTTTTGTCAACACAAAAAAAAACAACCGGTTGCTCAAAGAAAGACTCGGTCAAACATCCCGATGCAAGACCCTCCTGAAAAGAAGCATTGAGTCTCACGATTAGACACATTGTTGGGTGATGCTGTATCGGCAGTCGTGTGCAAGCACAAAAAAACTCAAAACGCTGGTCAATAATACTGCTTTAAAATATAAAAAATATATAATCGGCGACGTTTCAGGAAACGGTTCTTCTTTACAGACCCCAGTGATGCTTACAGAGGCAAATGATTAATGAATGAATGATGCTTGTCGTAGGAACAATCATCAACGGGGAAGACGCCATATTATAGATAGTACAAGTTGATTGTATGTGTTCCACGGACCAAAATCACTCAACCTATCTAATTAGAGAGGGGAGGAGGGCTGTGCCACAGCGCTGTGATGGTTAGCGCACTGGACCGACGATTTCCAGAGGTCGCTGGATCGAGTTGATCTCCTCACGTGGCATTTCATTATTGTTTCATTTTACTTAGAACGACCCTTAAGAGATATCCGTTCCAAGTTATGGAGCCATTCAAATGCTTTGAGAGTGAATTGCAGATCCACTCACCGGCCCATTCACGCGCTCATCCACTACCCCACCCACTCAGCCACCCACCCGTGTCTGGGACCCATCTAGTAGTCCCCTTGCCTGTCAGAGCAGCAGTTCATCAGCATTGACTCGAGCAAGCCCGACTCTGCTGATGAGACATTGAATGTTGAAACCTATACGGAGTGTTGCCTGCCTTGAATCAATGCTGCTGAAATTATGCACTCCCAGAAGGCCGTGCGGCTGATGGGTAGTATCAGGCAGACTTGGATTTGTTTATATGGAGAGATTCATATGTCAGCAAGACATTGTCTGCTTATTCATTTTGTATGCAGTGCAATGTCATTCATGCGCCGTTGTGGAGCAATGGGTAATGGCCTTCCATTTGTTTCAAACACTTCACGTTGCCTTGTAGGCCGTCTACCAGTGGGCCTTCTGGACTAAAGCTATCGATCAGCATTTGCTAAGGCACTCAAACTCTGCAGCAGTTTTTTTTAACCTTTGGGGTCTCATCATTAGCCAGGCTTGTTAAAAAAAGGATAGCGTTTGGATGCCAGGGATTGTTGGCGCGAGCCCTCCATGTTCATCATGGGGCCCTGTTCAGTGCAATAACGAAGAAATATTTGTGCCAAGATGTTCAAACACGAAATAGATACATTTTGCAAGGCATCAAATCCGCATTAACCACACATACTTGTGGCAAAACAAGCAAACATGAATATGCTTCGATGATATAAGCATTATCTTTGAAACTGAATCGCCTACACCAGAGACAGTCTTCTTTAATGGCCTAGTCTCACCAATGCAAGTATCGGTGCATTTATAGCTTCGGCTCGAGCAGTTATGCAGACTTGATGCCTTGAAAAAGGTATCTATTTTGTGCGTGAACCTGTTTTTTATTGCCAGAAAATGGTAAAACCAATTCGTATTTTTCATATTCTTAGGTTTTTTCGGTAAAGTCACATAGGTTTCTTCGTGGTGTTGAATCTCTGATGCTTTTTTGATCCTGGCAAAAAGGCCCCATAGATACAATAAGCGTGCTGTTGTGGGGCATTCATCATTAGCCGTGCTCTGTCCACTGCTGGATAACGGAGCTCCCCAATAGACGCCATCTCTCACGATCCTTCGATGCAATAAGCCGCTCGGCGCCCACACACAGGGATGGCTTTACTGCTCCGTCTCCCGGGTGGTGGAGCATTCGGAGGCCAAGTAACAATGGCAGTGGATTTGCTCGTTCGCGGCCTCCGCTGTGCGTGGGTTGTAAACGCTGCCGTTAAAGCGCCGTGATTGCGCCTCCCCTTGTGCGTGTTGCTCGGAGCAAAAAAAATCCGCACCCAAGTCCGTCTCGCTGCGACTTCTTTATCGAGGAATAAGCCGCCAATTGCACAGCCTCGCGGCCACGCCGGGAGACCGCGAAATTCAAAATTCACAGGCGGGAATGGAGAAGACTTCTCGGGGCAACCGGCAATGACAAAGGAGATTTCTTCTCGTCGTATAAAACAAACGCAGCACATTCTTCAATAGCGCCGTGGCTCTCAATGTGGGAGGTAGAGGGGGGGCATTTATAATAAGCGACGTTTCAGCCAACGGCTCTTATTTACGAGCACGTTGAGTTGTTTTGTATTGCTCGTGCTTGTGCATCGCTACCAACGCGGCATACATTTTCATAAAACTGTCATCATCAGTCGTCGTTCCCCTCCCCGAGTTGTGCTGAGTTCCCTGCTGGTATCCCATAGAGAGGACTGTCAGGACAAAGCTCTCGGAGCCGACTGATCTATGGCATCACATTTGTTGCTATGTTTGATTTTTATGAGTTCGATTTTCAACAATTTTTTAAATAAAGTATTTAGTATATCCTCAATAATTGGGGAAAAAAGTCCAAATCATTTAATACATCCTTAAATATCGACGACATTAAATACGTCATTTAAAATGTTGACAAGTATTGAGGATATATGTGCTATTTTGTCCAAAATCAATCATATCAACAGATATGATGACATACATATCAACAGATATGACGACATACATATCAACAGCTATGACGACATACATGTCAACAGATGTGACGACATACATATCAACAGATGTGACGACATACATATCAACAGATATGACGACATACATATCAACAGATGTGACGACATACATATCAACAGATGTGACGACATACATGTCAACAGATGTGACGACATACATATCAACAGATATGAGGACATACATATCAACAGATGTGACGACATACATGTCAACAGATGTGACAACATACATGTCAACAGATGTGACGACATACATGTCAACAGATATGACGACATACATATCAACAGATGTGACGACATACATGTCAACAGATGTGACGACATACATGTCAACATATGTGACGACATACATATCAACAGATGTGACGACATACATGTCAACAGATGTGACGACATACATATCAACAGATATGACGACATACATATCAACGGATGTGACGACATACATATCAACAGATGTGACGACATACACATCAACAGATATGACGACATACATATCAACAGATGTGACGACATACTGAGCCTCACACAAAGACACCGGAACCATCGGCAGCAGCTGCCGGTGAGAAACTGCCAGTAGACAGGTCCCGGGGGGATTATTTACAACAGGCAGACAAGGACACACAGAAAACAACGTGAGAGTCCATTGCACGGCCCTGAGAGAGACTCAACACCACGAAGAAACTGCGAGTGTCTGCAACGTGTGCGTGCGTAACGACGACTTCATACTCTGCTCTTGACAAGGCGCTTTGTTGAAGACACGGAGAGCCCCACTGCAACAGCCCCGAGTCTCCCGCGCATCCCCCCCTTATACACCGACCGAGGCCACGCCCCCCTTCTCGATCATTCTCGCTGACTGGACGCTTGCTCCACCGGCAGACTCCATCGACCTCTTCCGTCACCCGACCACGCTCCCTTCTGGAACATTCCCGTAGCCACCGGTCCCTTCGCACTCACAACTCAACCCCCTACCATTACCTCCCGTGGCCACTAGTCCATTCACACTGCAGGCTGACTCCCCTGTCATTACCTCCCGTGGCCACTAGTCCACTCACATTGTAGGCTGACTCCCCTGCCATTGCCTCCCGTGGCCACTAGTCCCCTCACACCGCGTGCAGGCTCTATTGTCATTACACACGCATGCGTGCATGCACATGCAAGTATTCGCAGTGTAAAACTGCTGCTTCAATGAACGTATGTGAAGTTGGTACAAAGGGAGAGAGAGATGCTTCTCTGGAGTCAACACGTTTATAATAACATCAACACCCTAACACAAAGGGGTAGCTGCCCCTTCCACCAGGTAACCTAAGGAGGTAGTCCCTCTGGGCTAACGAGGCCTAACACAACTGGGGGAGGCTGTCAAGACTGGACCCCGACTCGGGTCCGGTCTTGTCTTCGGGGCTTCTCTTCAGGATGACGGCTTCATCTATTCAGGTTGACAACAGCAGCCGGATCCGTTCAGGGGTCCGGCTTATATAGTCAGTCCCGGGGCTTCCTCCGCTCCTAGCAACGCCTCCCTTCTCGAACCTTCGAGACACACCTGGAACCGGTCCCGGGGTCGCCCAGCCCCCTCTTTTGGGGCCCCTCCCCCGGTACCTCCGGCCACCAGCCCTCCGGGTTAATCCGTAGTGCCATGGCCCCCTGTCACCTCTGCGCCGATCCAGGCGCTCTCGCCCCCCAACCCCCAGGGGCTGACACTGCACGCGGAGTGCAATGCCCTCCAGCTGGCGTGCTGTGGGTGGTATGAGCAGCGTCTCTCGTGGTTCACACACAGGCCGCCTTCACATGACATGCAGTGGCACCCCCCGATGCCACTGCATGTGCAGCGAATGTCGAGTCAGAATAAAGAGCGAGGACTCCTCTGTCACCGGGAGGACAGGAAGAGCTGAACATTTTGAACAAATGGCATTTTCATTGCCCCCCCGCCGGAGTTTTATAATATACTTTTAGGGAAAGTGCAGTGAGCAAGCACCTATGAAGGCCACTACTCGACACACACGTACACTTGAAGGGTGGAATGGTGACGCAGTGGTTCACACATTTCATATCACTCATTAATTCTAACAAATAATGGGAGGACTCTGTGTTTTTTTACAAATTGTCTGCATACAAAGGGTTGCTACAGACACTTGCACAGAGCAATTCTCATAAGCAGACAAAAACTGTTAAATTTTAAATGTGCGTATTTTGTTTAGGCAGGTGAGAAATCTGCTGCTGATATTGTGTGTGTATGAATTGTGTATCCTTGTCTTAAATTTACTTATAGAGTTATGAGAAGACTGACAAACACGTTCGCTATATCAGTAATTGTTGTAAAATAAATAACCGCAAGAGTCAACGTTGATTTGTTTAACAGAATGGGAACTCAAGAGACCAGGATGAATCTCATGCGCAAGAGTGACCTGGGGCATCAGTCTGCTGCCAGTAGCAAGCGATGATTGCTGCTGCTGCTTGTGTGATCCCAATTGAGTAATTTGCCGTGCAATCTTCCAATTTGGCAAATTTGAACGCCGACGCCGCCACACAAATGGCCTCCTCTTGCCGATGACGTCAGGGGGAATCTTTAACGCCCACTGCGAAGCAGACGGCGATTAGAGGCATTATTACTGCGGTTGTTATTATCACAGCCGCAGTAATAATCGGGGCGGCCGCTGGATTTGAAACCGTGAACCTCAATGACAAGCGCTGGGCCACGTCACTCCGGTGATTTCTTTTTGGACCAAATACACCAAGGTGGGAGCAGTTGAAGATCATAAAAGAGGGTTTTTAGGGTTATGTCGGGTAAATATAAATGTGTCGTTGAACCCGCCACCACCTGACATAGCCAATTAGCAAGGTTTGTCACGTAAATAGAATGTGGCCAATTCGTTACTGGTACAGCACACTGGTGTGTTGGAGAGTAAACCCACATCATTTACAATACTCTCCGACACACCGGTGTGCTGAACGAGTCACGAATTGGCATGTTTTGTTTACGTGTTTACGTGACAAACCTTTCTAATTGGTTGTGTCGGGTGGTGGACGTTTCGCTGATAATTACAATCAGCTTCATCGGGCAATAATGGTGAAGCTCTCCTGTTGCTTCCGGTCCTAAATAGAGCAGCATCAGGGTGATGTCATCATTTAATTCAAATGATGCTGCTCTATTTAAAGGGGAGCTTCACCATTCTTGCCCGATGAAGCTGATTGTACTCAAATTTTATAATGCTGTTGATTCTCTCTTCAACACCCCAGTGGGCTAAAGAAGTGAATTATTTTGTCCTTTGAAAAACGTGACACATTTTTTACTGTTTGGCCGTGTCGGGTGGTGGAGGGTTACGACACATTTATAAATAACGCGATCTGACCCAAAAACCTATATTATGAATACACAGGTGCACTTGAACGCTTTGTTTTCGGCATCCCATAACGCGAGCTGTAAAAAAACAAAGGTGGCCCTTGGACGCTCTGTTTCCCAACACTGCAGCTCACTTCATCAAAGGGACCCGGGGATGGCTAAGATGATGCTAAACTCTGGGCGGCCACGTGACAAATCGCTTTAATACCGTGAGCGCGGCGCTGCACGCGGGGACGCGCCTCGATGAGTTCTGAGCGCATGCCGCGTGAAGGCGCAGCACCTGCAATTGCTCGCTCACACCCCTGCTGGTGGAAGGCACCTCCAACTAGCGAGAGCTCCCTACAGAGTCGTTGGCCTCCTCGTCAACGCGAGCCAGCCGTCATGGAAGAGGTGAGCGCACCGACACTTTACCCCGTCGACCGCGGTGTACCCGTATATAGGGGCCGTCCATAAATGACGTCACGCGGTTTTGGACGATTTTTGACCCCCCCCTCCCTCGTCACACGGCGTCACACAAAGTCAGACCCCCCCCCTCAAATATGACGTCACAAAGCTCTGCCCCCCCACCAAAACCATATTTCCATTTTGAAAATAAAACATGCTTCAAATCGCTTTAAACTATCGTCATTGTAGTGCGTATTTAATGTGGCGCTGCACTCTGATGTTGTAGGAGTGTTGTTATAACAATTTGTGTTGTTATAGCAAATATATATTTATTTAAAGTGGCGCATTTTTACGTGATGTCACATTTCTTAACCCCCCCCTTGTCACACATCGTAACAAATGTCTGAACCCCCCCTAGGTGCGTGACGTCATTTATGGACGGCCCCATACTGCTGGGCGGAGAAATGCGTTGGTGGGGTATTTGAGAACCCTGCACCGTCGTTCCAACTGCCGCGCCCTGAGATTGAATCGAACCTGCGACCTCTGGAACGCAAGCCCCACGCAGTGTGCCAACAATTACAACCGCGGCATCCACCATCCCCTATATGCCAGGGGTAAATCGAAATAAAATTGTGGATTTTTTCGATTTAAAGCTTTCGTGACTGCAGGGATTCATCTTCTTGGTTCTTTCGGTAAAGTCACGTAGAAGGGAAATGATAAAATAATAAAAATAAAACATAATAAAATAATGAAGACGTCTGTCGGGGAGACAGCGTCTGAAGACGTCTGAAGACGTCTGAAGACGCTGTCTCCCCGACAGACTTGTTCTTCACCTGAGGACGGCTGCTTACGTTGTGGCCGAAACGTCGTGAGAATTATTTTATTAGGTTTTATTTTTATTATTTTATTATTTCCCTTCTACGTGACTTTACCGAAAGAACCAAGAAGAAAAATTGTGGATGTAAAAAAAAACCCGAAAAAAATAAATAACTTAGAGCGAACAGAGTGGGGGCAAAAAAAGGGGGAGTGTTGACACGGTTTGACAGCACCGAAGAGAAAAGCGCAGTGGAGTGCAGCCGACAAGGCGAGAGGCGGCGGCCCGCTGTTAAAACGGGCGCACAATGAGGGGGTCCATGCGGCCGGGCACTCGAGGCAGCGCCGAGTTTCCTCGAGGCGCCGGCGTTTTGTCGAATCGCACTCGGTAATGCGGCAGCGTAAGCCCGCAGACCCGGCGAACACCGAGGTTTGCATTTCGCTGCGTGAGTGAGGCCTTCCCATGCCACTTTCCAGCTCCCCCACCCCCAATAACAATCGCACCCCCCCGCCCTGCCACCACCACCACCATCGAGCATCACCCAGAAAAAAAACCACGCGTGGATCCGCGGCATTATTATTTCCTGACAAAGCGCGCGCAGAGAGAGAGAGAGGGAGGGAAAGAGCTTTCAGCAGCCGAGCGGCGGCTAAAGTGACGCTCCAAGGCTGCTCTTTCGTTATGGATCGATAATGAAATAAGTATCGTGGAAGCGGCGGCATCTCGCCGGCTCTCGTGAAATTCATACACCGAAGGGTGGATGGACGAGGGAGAGAGAGGAAAGAGAGATATATGAGAGAGAGAGAGAGAAGAGAGAGATACAGGAGAGAGAGTTCATATAATTATATACGAGAAGGTTTAAAAAAAAAGAAAGTAAAGATTGAAAGACGAAAGTTTTATAGGGCAGCATTTTGGTTGGGCAGGGTTTTGTGGACTGCAAAGTTACAGTCTCACGGCAGCGGTGTAAATCACACAGAGGGCCCATGCACTGATGCGCCGGTCCTCCGATTAAATATGATGCTTCTATTCTCGCCCGCGATGGATCGTTAAGCTGTGACATCATCGATTGTATATAATTCACGGCAAATTGTCGGCCAATATTTATGCTAAACTTACACGGAGGCTGAATAAAATGAATTTTAAGGAACGAAACAGGAGGACTTCTCAAAAAAAATATGTTTGTCGCCTGATGAAGCTGGTTGTAATTACTGGCGAAACGTCGTACTCAGATTGTAAATGTTGCGGCTTTGCCCTCCAACACACCGGTGTGCTGTACTAGTGACGAATTGGTCACGTTCTGTTTGCGTGACAACCCTTACTAGTTGGCTGTGTCTGGTAGTGGCGCGTTTTAACAACACATTTATATTTAACACGTAGGCTTTCGCGACCAATATTATTCCTAATATAGGTTTTTGGGTTTAGATCGCGTTATTTATAAATGTGTCGTAACCCTCCACCACCCGACACGGCCAAACACATTTTT